TCCAGCTCTATTGCTACACAGAGAAACCCTGTCTCGAAAAACCAAAAAGAAAGAAAGAAAGAAAGAAAGCAGCCTGAGCAAGCCAGGGGACGCAAGCCAGTAAGCAGCACCCCTCCATGGCCTCTGCATCAGCTTCTGCCTCCAGGTTCCTGCCCTGCTTGAGTTCTTATTCTGACTTCCTCAAGCTATGATCTGGAAGTGTAAGCCAAATAAACCCTTTCTTTCCCAACTTGCTTTTTGGTCATGCTGTTTCTTTGCAACAATAGAAATTCTAACTAAGGTGTCTGGTTTGCCCTCTGGAGGAGGAAGTATGGTAAGGCCTCATCTATAAAATATGTACACTGATACTTGGTTCTCTCAGGACGACAGTGGGGACAGAGGGCATGGAGAAGGGATAAGAAAACCATCTGTCAGGAGTGTGGGGGTGTGGGGTGTGTGTGGGGTGGGCTGGAGAGATGGCTTAGTGGTTAAGAGCATTGATTGCTCTTCCAGAGGTCCTGAGTTCAATTCCCAGCAACCACATGGTGGCTTCCAACCATCTGGAATTGGATCAGATTCCTAATTCTGGTGTATATATAAATCTTAAAAAAAGAAAAAAGAAAAGAAAACCATCTGTCATTCATGTAGCAACAGTGTGGTCCCTGCACTATTACAGCCTTCCAATCCTCTCTTTAGCCCCGAATCTCACAGGAGTTACACAGCTAGGACCTGGGGGTCTGGGGTCTGGGTCCAGAGCCTGCACCTCTGCCCACGCCCTTCATTGCTGCAGAGTCCAGGTTTATCTTCCGTCTGCTTGTCCCAACCTGGCTGGGACAACACAGCGTAGGCAGCAGTGATTTCTCTCTCTCCATCAGTGGATGCTGATCGAGTGACTGGAGTTGATGAGCTGGCTCTAATGACAGCAGGTGGCTCTCTCTGTGGCAGTGATATCTGGGTCCTAGGTTGACTCACTCCCTGGAGGAGCATCACTATTCTGCTTATAGTCATTTCCTCCACCCTTCCACCAGCGTGGGGCATCTCCTGAGAGGGGTAAGGAGGTGGGCTGGACTGAATGAATGTTCTGCCTTGTCCTTCACTCGTATCTCCCAATTTTCCGCTGTTTTAGGTCAACAGGCATTTACCGACGGGCTCAATTTCATAAGAGAACCTACTTCACAAAGTAAAGGAATGTGACATTTAAACCACAAGACTCTTGCCCCCGCCCCTGCCTCCCTGGGAACAGGACTGCTCTTCTAGGAAAGGGACCTGGCTATTCTTTCACCCTCCCCTGTCCCCTGTGGGCCACAGAAGGTCCCCTCATTCTAGCTTATTCAAACTTCCCTCCCAAAACTGGCTCCCTGGCCCCTCCCCGCAGCAGGCTAGAACAAGTACCACCAACCCCAAGCCAAACTCAGCTGGGCACAGCACACGAGGTTGGCTTTTGTCTCCCTTGATCTGTCCTTTCATCTTGTCCTTTCACTTCCCAACAAAATCTCCAATTCCCCTTGGACTTCCCATTCATTCTCCAGCCCCCAGGCTTCTGCTCCATTTCTCTCTGAGTCAGCTAGCCACAGACTAAGCGGGGAGGACAATGTCCAACTCACAGGGGTGCTTGCCTTTGTGACCACATCCACCTCTCCCTTGGAGACCATGCATGCCTCCCTTTGTGACGATGCCCTCCCTCCATCCTCCATCCTTAGAGGATCAGGATTCTGATTGTCCCTTCTCAGTTTGTCTGTCTCTTCAGTGTTAGATTTTTTAGTGTCCTCAGGGACCTCTCTTCTTGTTCTTCCCAGTCCTCAGTGACTTCATCTATCCTGTGGATACTTCAGAGCTCCAAATCTGAGTTCAACTCTTTTTTTTTTTTTTTTTGGTTTTTCAAGACAGGGTTTCTCTGTATAGTTTTGGTGCCTGTCCTGGATCTCGCTCTGTAGACCAGGCTGGCCTCAAACTCGCAGAGACCCACCTGGCTCTGCCTCCTGAGTGCTAGGATTAAAGGTGTGCTCCACCACAGCCTGGCTCTGAGTTCAAATCTTCCACCTACTGTTCAGGGCTCCTTAATGCCGGCATTATACTTCCAGTAGTGGGGAGGCTGAGGCAGGAAGAGCAGGAGTTTGAGGCTGAGCTGGCGAGTTGGTTCAGTTGGTAAAGTGTTCGACACATGAAGGACCTGCCTTTGGATCCCTGGTACCCATGTAAGGGCCCAGCACTCTGGAGCACACTTGTAATCCCGGTGCTGGGGAGGCAGAAGGGTCAGATCGGTGCTTGCTGGCAGCCAATCCAGTGGAATAGCTAAGCTTCAGGTTCAGTGAGGAACCCTGTCTCAAAAGAGAGAACAGTTGAAGACATCTGACATTGACCTCTGGCCTCTCCACACACGTGTGCATTTGCAACTGAACACAACCCCTCCCCAGCAACACATGCATACACACACACACACACACACACACACACACACACACACACACATGAGGCTACATAAGAAGACATTGTCTTACATAAAAATTTAAAGGTCCTGTTTCCTGGAGGTCTGTGGGGGGTGATGCCAGTTCTGCTTGCAGATGTGTTGGGGACTAGGCAAACTGGTGCCTATGAGTGCCAATCACAGGTCAAGTGGGCTGTTGTCAATCAAGTCCTAGGGGCTGAGCTCCCTCAGGGCTCAGCCCACCTATCCAGTCCTCACAAAGCAGCCAAGGCTGGTCTTTTCTAGACTCAAGTCTGGTCATGGCAGGAACTTCTCACTGTTGTTGGGGCCAGGGCCAGGATTGGGGCTATGGTCTGGCCAGGCCATGCAGAGTCCATGCTGCTACTGACCATGCCGGTACTGGAACCCCTTGCTCAGGCCACAGGTGTCATCCACTTGACCTGGTCACCTCTTCCTCTTTAGTCGACATGAGTCAATTTCAAGTTCTGATGACTTG